TGGACCGGACTCCCTAATTTCTTTTCATTTCTTATATCTGCAGCGTGCTTCTTCTGATGCAATCAATTTTCTTATCCCCAAAACCCAGCCACTCACAGCCCCACCACTGGCCACCGCGCCAAAAGTTGGGCATAATATATTTACAAATTAACACTTAAATTCCAAGTTCTCTTTCTCATGTAATTACTATTAATTATATTATTTTTCACTTTAACGTTCATCGTCATATTCATATATGCCCTAAAAGCGTCGGAATTCAACAAGCAATATTGTTTCTCGCCGCACAGAGCAGGTCTCTTTTGTTTTTTTTGGCTTTTATTTCATTTTTGCCCCTTTATGGATAAGGAGAATGACGGGAAAAAAATAAAAATTACAAATTTCAAATCAGGTTCGGTAACGCGACTTTATTTAGTATTGACAATTTTGGATTTATAAATAACAACAAATTTTTATTGACATTCCTTATTTAATATTTACAAATTTTTAGTTTTTTTTTGCCATCGTCCCTTGTGGATATTTCGTTTTTCCGGTTTAAACGGGGGTGGCATCTAGTCATGTGCTCACACGGTAGCAGGCTTTGCTTGCTCGCGATGTAACCAAACATGCTTCCCTTGGTTTTATTTTTTTAATTTTCAAACGCCGAAAGTCAATCCTATTGAATTAATTAATTAACTGCAGATGCCTCACAGGCTCACTTCACATAACTACTGCCCCATATAACACCATCCATAGTCAATGACAGTCGAAGGCGACGTTGACATTTCCTCTTATATTTTTTAATGCCGCCCCCTGACATTTTTGTGTTATTTATTACGTCATCATACGATAACTTGAGCCCGAATATAACGGTGACTCAATATTTAAACACTGAATACATAATTATGACGGAAAAACAAAAATTCCACATATTTTCCCTGTTTTTTTCCCTTCCCATTGGCCATTATAAAAAAGAGAACCTTGTGATTCCCTACCATCAGTCATCACTACGTGCATCCCCCCTGCTGAGCCAACTGGAGGAAGCAACAAAGATAAATCACTCTGCATGGCCACAGCTGACTTCTATCCTCCCGTAATTTTCAACCAACAAACGGACACGTAAACATTTCTAAGGTTTTCCAAAAAAAAAAAATCTGGTTAGGATTGATTTTTATATACATAATCATCTGATATCCCATCTCATTACACAAACTAACTCTTATATTAAAATTGAGAACTGTGGAATGCAATTTATAAGATCCGTTAATTTGTGTTCCTGTGCAGAGGGAGGTCTACAGAATCTGACAACCACATCTATAGATATATATATCTATATATATCTTTATAGATACATACATATATGTGTGTGTATATATTAAAGAAAGAAGGGGGAGGAAGCAGTTCACGTGTTGATGAAAGGCCAGCAGGATGCATGTGAGTAACTCGGAACTGCCACACTCAACCAAATAAATCTTCATCTTATGTGTTGGACCTGTTTGCTCCCTTCACAGCAAGAATATTTCATCATTTTTCCAACAAACACGCTCCATGTGGCCACCTATTTCTGCATTTCTTGCTCTTCTATTCTTATTTTGAGTAGCCCCTCTGTCCCAGTTTGTAATTAAATGTTTGTATTCTTTCACGCCATGCTGTGACAAAGATATATTAACCGACAATTTTATTCTCCTCCGATTTAAACCCAATAATTGGATATTTAGTTTACAAATATTATGAAAACTGTGATTTGATTTGCATGACATTTTTTTAAACATCTGTATTGACACTACTCTTTGATAAAATTTCTTTTGATAATTGAAATTGACAAAAATAATTTAAAAAATAAAATGAATTAAAATCTTATATTTAGAACCAAAATAAATCAATTGTATTTTTTGCCTTGTGCAAACCACACAAGTAGTATTGGAAGAGGGCCAGAGCCGGAAGACAATCACCTAGTTGACCTTTAATTAACAGCGTGGCGGGGACACATAGGGCTGCCGCGCAATTATTTCCAAATGACGAATAGTTAATACTGACAAAATCATAGTAGTATATACTAAAATAAAATCATAAAATCCAAATAGTAGTTAAGATATTTATTGTTATTTTAAATAAAATATTCAGGCAGATTCAGCCTTGTCGGCGAGGCGAGCTCAAACCACATTTTCTGACCAGTTCAATTTTTAAAAAATACCCCTGCTTGGTTAGAAATGACAATATCAGCTCGTATCCTCCTCCTTTTCTCACACTCCTCTTTTTCTGATACCCGTATATGTTGTTGACATGCTTAAATTTCAGCGCACCGCCCCAAGAAAATACATAAAATGAAAGTGTAAAATTGGTGTAATCGTTAAAAAGATTATACCTCCACCAAAGAAAGATAAGGCTATATATACAAACACACATATATACTGGCCGATGCGTGTTAATCTTTTTCCGTCTGCCATCGATAAAGCTTTGAGTATTATTATCTGTTCAATTACTTATTTTTGTTTAAAATTTAACATGCCACTACATGGTCACTCGTCCAAGAGTAAAATTGTCATCATCGTCACTCACCATAACGGTATATCTTGTGGATAGTTCTGTTTTAAGTAAAAAGTATACTACTTTAGTCCCAAAGATAAGTCACTTGTTAAAAAAAATTTGGTTTTAAACGTAAATAACTTGTAGTATATTTAATACTGCCTCCAGTTCTCAAGAGTTAGTTGACTAATTTGAGTATATTAAGAAAACTAGTTAAATTAATTATTTGCAATATATATGTATTGTCTTTCCTAAAATATTCTTGTTGATCATTTGTATTAGTTATAATTATTATTTGATAAAATCTTTAACATTTGAAATTACTACAAGGATTATCTTAAAAAAATAGATAAATGAGAGACAAAGTGAATTGGGAGTCTTATATTAATGATCAAATTAAATGTCAAACTAACTATATATACTAAGAACCAGTACTTGTTTTCTAATCTTACCTTTGTTTAATTCTTATTATAAAAAGAGAAAGAAGTAAAAGGTATGAGAATATTTGTAAATGTAGATACAAAAAAAACTACTCATCCGGTCCTTAAGATAAGAACTATTTAACTAATTTGATTAGATTAAGGATGTTAGGTAAGTTAGTTATTTATAAAAAAATATGACATGTTTTTTTCCTAAAATATCATAATCATCTTCCTTAATATCTTTAATCCCTCTTCTACTTGATTATGATTAAGGGAGTATCCATAAGAATAATTTAGAAAAAATTAATAAATATGATAAATATGTCTTATATTTAGAACAAAATCAACTCACCAATTAGGTTATATATTAAGGACCGGGGGAGTATAATAATAAAAATAAAATTTTAAAAATTAATAATTTAATGCATTTTGTGAAAATATATTACTAATAATTTATATTAAGAATCAAAGTGTTATAGCTATTTGGCATGTCCTCCTTGTGGCTTCAGCAAAAAGGCAAAAATGGAAGAGGAAAAATCATGAAATAAATTACAAAAATAAAACAAAAATAAGGCGATTGTAGACGAATGGAGAGAGAAGGGGGAAAAGAAGATGCTGATAAAGATGTAGGTGATGCCAGCCCAACAGAAGCGTTGAAATGGAAATAGTGAAGGCGAAAGAGAACGGCCAACAAGGCACCGGAGGGTGCATGATCCGACAACCCTCCGACCACTCAGCATGGCATCAATTTTCACGGAATTCAAAGCCTTTTCTTATTTTTATCCCACAACACCCTTGGTGCATGTTAGCTGTTAGCACCCATCCCTCCACGCTCCTCATTCCCTGGGTCCCTGGCTGACATCACAATAGATTTATATTTGAACCAGCTATTTATAAATAAATATCCCAAATCTACAAAAAAAAAACTAAGAATTGATAATCTTTTTAATTTAGAAAATACTTATATCAAGTTTTTTATATTTATTATGTTAAATTTTTAATAATGATCATGTAAAAATATTAATATTTAGTAGTATTTAATTACAAATTTATATGAAAAAAAAAGACACATGTTTATGTGTAATTGAAAAATAAATCTGACCTAAGCCTTTTTTTAATTTTTAAAATCTGAACTTATTTTAATTTTGACTCTTAAAATTTGAAATGATTAACTTTAGTTTTTGAAAACTTGTTTTAGAAAAAAAAATATTGTTACAAAGATAAAAAAAAAATTTTAGATGGACCAAAATTAAGTCTAATTTCAGATACTAAAATCAAAATAAATTCAAACTTTAAAAACTTAAGATCCAATTAATTGTAAATATAAATATTTAGAAAACAAAATTTACCTTACTAAATAGTTATATATAAGAAATTCAACATTAAAACAAATGAATCCTATAGTCACATATAACGAATTTTTGGAATGCTAAACGTGACTATTAATTTTTTATTTATTTATGCCTATTAATTAGATCATTACATTTTTTTTAAAGAAGGACCTCGGAAGAATAATATCAGGACTTGAAGAAGATTCCGTAAATAACCTGTTATTTTGGTCTTAAAAAATAATTCTCCCTCCTATGTTGCCAAGCCAAGTGGCCCTTCCGTGTGAAAACGGCCAAGGGCATTTTCGTCATTCCAAAGCGCGGGAACGGGCATTATAAGCGCTCGCTTCCCCCCTTGTCAGCTTTAGTCGCAAGCGTCATCCACCCCCACGCCCAAAACCTGAGTGCACCCCCGCCCATAATCCAGCGCGCCCGCCGGGGTTCTTATTTCTGGCCTCCGCGTTAGCCTAAGCTCCCATTACTATCTCTGCCTTGTTTTATATCTCTAGTTCTTGAACAAGTTCGGTGACCATTTCCAGGCCAAACCTTCGCAACTGCCTCTGCTCCGCTGCTCCTGATTCTGCCGGCAGAGTTCGAAACTGTCTCCCGCAAAACCCCTCAGTGCATGATGGGATTTTGCATATGCCCGTTGGAAACGCCGGCTAGGTTGCTCTGGAGCACCAGCTTCTTCCGCCACAAGCTAATGATTTTTTAACTCTGGACACTTCTGATTCCTAAAACTTAAATACTATACTGAGATACTAGCTATTCTATTTTCTTCTGCCCCATCCGTCGCCGGAGTAAGTATCTCTGGTGGTCACCGGTGGCGATTGTTGTCGAAGACCTTGTACGTTTGTGGGAAGAAAGCGAGACGACCAAAGCTATGGAGTCCGGCCGTATTTTCTTCGGTTCCTCCGCTTGCCGCGGGAACATGCTGTTTCTCGGGAACGGTGATCCAGTTTATAGAGGTGATTCTCAACGCTTTGCTACGTCACTTTGTCCGATTTGCCCATATGTTGTTTCATTTTACTTTGTTGTATAAATCTATGCTTCTTTAGCTGTCAAGAATATTAGTCCGTGATAACCAGGAATACAATAACAAATCTGGATTGACATCAACGGACCACTTAATTTTGCATAAAACTTGGTTTACATACAATAACAAATCTGGGTTGCCAATGTTTTTATATTTTTTTTCCTTCACCCCCAACAATAGAATTGAGATCGAAATTAAAGCAGGCGGATCGATAATAAGCATGGAGGAAAGCTCAAAGAAGCGACCATTTTTCAGCTCACCGGAGGAACTGTTCGACGAGGAATATTACGATGAGCAGTTGCCGGAGAAGAAGCGACGCCTCACTCCCGAGCAGGTTGGTTAATTGACTAGCTAGCTCGATATATATGCTGCGGCTTGGTCTCATAGTTGTAGATTATATAAAATCTGAAATATCAATAAGAATTTTTGATTCAGTATCAATCTGAGTTGCAGTTATGCAATAGATCTAAGATATAAATTTTGCAGACATATGAAATGAATGATTTCAGTTGGAAAAAAAGTAAATAAATGAATGATTTCAACTTTCTTTTTGTGCCCCCATATAGGCAGCTGGTTGTATGCAATATGCATGTTAATTGTTCAGGGTGAAATCCATCTTAATTCCGAGATATATTGTAAATTTTTGATTTAGTATTAATGTTTAGGTGCTTCTGCTGGAGAAAAGCTTTGAAGATGAGAACAAGCTGGAGCCGGAACGGAAGACCGAGCTGGCCAAGAAGCTGGGGTTGCAGCCAAGGCAGGTGGCTGTGTGGTTCCAGAACCGTAGGGCCCGTTGGAAAACCAAGCAACTTGAAAGGGATTACGATGTTCTCAAGTCTTCCTATGATGCCCTGCTTTCAAAGTACAGCTCCATTGTCAAGGACAATGAAAATCTCAAATCAGAGGTACATATCTATTGTTTCTCAGGGTCGATTTTGTTCTGGTGCGGCAATACAAAAAAAAAAAAAATCATGGATGTGATGGAAAATTGAATCAATAATAATGATTGATTATGGATATCAAAGTCTTTATATCAAATATTTAAAAAATGTACGGATCTGCATTGTGCTTGTGTGTGTGTCAGGTAATGGGCCATTAGAAGAAAAAAATTAATGCCTTCCCAATCAGGATTCCATCATAGGAAAAGGACACATGACCCATGATTTGAAGCTCTATTAAGAGGGTCCCACCAATAAGATTCGACCATATTAATTAACCACAAACTTCTAAACGTAGCATCAGTTCTGAACCCCACCTTCACTATTAAAAGGCCCTTTAATCGTAACCGGACGAATATACCAAGTAGACCTCTCTTAATATATGTGCTTATACTTTCTATGAAACAGACGTACACTTGTATTTTTAGAGTGAGTCTGCATACTAGTCCATAAACTAATGGATGCATGCTTATCTTCGATAATCATGGCATGTATGTTTTTACGTATTGGCAATTGACAATTCCTCAGGTGGTAGCCTTAAACGAGAAGCTTCTGGCTAAAGAGATGCCACGAGAACCATTACCAGAAGAAAAGGCAGACCCACTTATGATGGAGCTAGCCCAAATGTCAACCCTGCCATTCAACGTGAAGGTGGAGGACCGACTCAGCAGTGGGAGTGGTGGAAGTGCAGTGGTGGACGAGGATGCTCCACAGCTTCTTGTGGACAGCGTTGATTCCTACTTTCCAGCTGAGAACTTTGATGGATGCGTGGCCAGCGTTGATAGGGTTCAGTCTGAGGAGGATGACGGCAGCGACAATGGTCGCAGTTACTTCTCTGATGTGTTTGTGGCCCCTGAACCTGAGCACCAAAACCATGAGGAGGGAGAGGCGTTGTGTTGGTGGGTGTGGTCTTAAAACAAGCCTGTATTAAAAAAGATAAAAGAAAAAAGAGAAAAAAACATTATGATCTTGTAAGGTGTCATGTTAGAGATTAATGTTTTGCATAATAAAGCAGAAGACTGTGAGAGTCTGTTGTTTGTTAGAGATGATGTGGGATGTGAGCGTCAAAGAAAATCCCTTGGATCAATGCATCCAAAGCTTTGAGTTGAACAAATAATTGGTCAATGGCGTCTTCCGTTGTCTGGTCTTAGTACACATCAAGGGTAGTTCAACCTCGAAGGCTGGCTACCAGGCTTGTTTGCTATATATTTTAGTCAATATTTTCGTCTGCGTTGTTTTTAAAAGAATCTCTGATTGAGAGTGTTAAGTTATTATAATAGAAATGATGCAGGTGATTCGAGTATAAGATGAAGGTATGTATTAGCTTTTCGGTCAGAAATTAACACCAGAACTCCATTGTCGTTTTAGAACCAGCTTCCTCAGAAGCATCCCTGCCTCTCAAATAGTCGAAGCTGGGCCAACTGGAAGCCCCTCCAGAAGCAATTAATGCTGGTTTATGTATTGTGCACGGAATCAAACCAAACATCTAAAGGCTACATGATGACCCACTGAAAAACGCCGCTCTGTCCAGACAATGACACGAAATGAGATGTTGCGAGTCTTCTACTTCTCCACCTCTAAGATAATGTGTCAGTGTGTTAGTGAGCAGGATTCCAACAGGACCTAAAACGATTCATCATCTTCGACTTAAAACGAGCAAGATAAAGTCATAGACCCGGCCAAACATTCCTCCCAATAAAAACCATGTCGTCAAAATTTCCGTTCTGTTCCTGCAGACAACCGACACGCTGTTAACTTCGACAAGCAGATGCAGCGATGTCTGGGTGATGCATGGTTAGAGCTGCGCAGCCAGACTCGGACGTAAGTGTTTCTGCGTGCAGGAGAAATCCCCCTCGCAGCAGCGAAATGCTCAAACTCACTAGAGATTGGGCTCTAGCATCTTATCTGCATTAAAGACAATCCAAGAGAAAAAATTAAACAAAGCTCACCAACCCCTTCCACACTAACACATGGAAAAAAGCATTCATACCGTTCGACCACAGGACCACTGGTGATGATCAGTTCCGTCAGTCATTTCTGAAATGGCCTCTCATAATCATGTCCTCCAACGAGATTGTTGCCCTGAATCATCTAAATGTACCGCAGAATCTTCAATTACTTTATACGCAATTAAAGTTTGCTGAATGCAAGTCCTCCGAATTCTAGAATAAGGTTGACCATATTTTAAAGGCGAACGGTTGACGGAAGGCCATAGCCATGAAATGCCTCTGTCACATTCATTTCATCAGTGAAAAGGCTTCCATAAGGACCAGAGATTCCAGAGACATGCTTGGGCACCAATGTCTAGAATCAGAGATAAAAAGCAAGACTCATATCTAATCACTGCAGATTTAACAGATGCTCGCTGGCCTGTGTTTCTTCCCATCTCTGGATTTTTCGCAAGGAATCTCACTTCTTACATCTCTGTTTTTGAAGGTTCCACTAATATCTGTTCAAAAGCTGGCTGACCTCTATTGCATTTTGCTGCCGTTGTGTCCCTTCTAGAAGGTCATATGACGTTGAGTTTAAGGTAGTAGTATTATGATTCACTTGCAACAATCTGAGGGAATATATCCCTTCCGTTTGACTTCTGTTGGTTGACCTGAAAATGAGCTGCTCCAATTCCAACAGAGCCATTGGTTTTTTGGGGCATGGGACACAGCATCAGCAAAGGTTTATGCCGCTACTTACCTCGGCACGGACACTAGACATCCTTTCGTTGTTCCTCCACATCTATATCTATGGAATCCATATTATGGCAGATCGCTTTTGAATTTATTACCACTGTATAACCTATTTTCCCCTCCATTAATGAGTTAGTCAGGACTCATAAATTATTGGGTCCGCATATGGCTAAACCAAACATTTACCAGGAGTTGAGAGTGATGTGGCGAGGCCTCGCTCCAGACCAGCTTCTGCGGCACTGTTAAATTGGATCACCTTTCTTACCTTGGTGGATAAGAGAGTGAATTTAGAGTGCATTGTAATTGCATCCATCTTTCTTTATTATTTTTTGATGCCATTTGTTTAACTAAAGACACAAGTTTTTTTTTTTTTGCCCGAGAATTTACTTTTAATATAAGACAGACAAATGTGGCACATTTTTTTATTTTTTAATTGAAAATTGCATTACTGTAATAAAATTGTTAGTAATTTCCAAATCCTCTCACAAGAAAAAAAAAACAGAATAAATATTAATTAATGTAGGTAAATTGGCCTCAAAATAACGGCTCACCTAAAATTCGGTGGTTCCATCTTAAAAAGGAAGTAATTTAAATTCAAATTAAATGGGTGGGATGAATTAAGCAGATGAAAAGACCATATTAAGGGAATAATCCCCATCACAATGAATTGTTTAATGATCCTTGTCAAACGATAAAGCATCATTTCAAATCAAATCCCTCCGCCACCTTTCGTTGAGTTGGAGCGTCGGTGAGTTAAATTGAATTAACAGAAAAAGCTAATCGGGAGGCATAAATGGTAAACCCGGGGAGTGGCAGGAGTCGGCAATTTGAGGGGAAGGAATTGGGCGATTTAGGGAATCAAGAATTAAATAATTGGTTGACCTGGCGATTCACATGTGTAATTACCCAAACTTGCCGGCCTCGGTCGGGTTTTCCAGTCGTGGCGTCGTCTTAGTCGACTCTTGTATTTGCCGGTTACACAATCTTTACTTCTTCTAGTGCCCTTACTCTCTGCGATTCACTCCTGTCTCTCTCTCTCTGCCCTTTTTTCATCGTTTTTCCCTCAATTTTCTGGTTCATCACACTCTGACTCCTATCTGGTAATTTCTGTCTCTTTTTTCATCTTCTGGTTCTTTTTACTCTAATTAAACGCTTGTTTGATCGGCATTAGGCATGGCAACTGCTGTTTTGTTTCCATCTCTCAATCAATTGACTTTACCGAGGAATTGGATTCAAATGCTTGTGTATTTCATAAAGAATCAGGAATGTAGTGCAGTATAAACCGAGATCTTGATACATTCTTGCTGCTATTTTGATTAATTCTAGCATAGCGCAGCTCCAAAATTTTCGGGGATTTTATTTGTTCCTTTTTCCCTCATGAACCCGAGGATACAGCATGATCTACTAAGAAGTAAGAACCTAATCATACTGCGCAAGTCGGTCTCCGTAAGGTGATGATCGGTTTCTGGTCTTGTAAATACCTGCTCACGTGGGCTAGTTTTATATGATGCCTAAGTCTTAGGCTTTCTTATTCATGGTTTAGGCCCTGGGCCTTTCTAGCGGGTCGGGATTCTGTGGATCATAAGGGAAGACTATGAATGGGTCCCTTTGCCAAGACTCTCCATTTTGTAGGTATCGTGCAAATTTTGGTCTATGGGGGGTTTGGAGTGAACGGTCGGTGCAAAGATTTGTATTGGCAGCTGCAAAATAAATGTCTTTGCTCTTTACTCATTGGAAATGCAATTTTTGAGATATATGAATTCAAGAGAAAGAACTACTATAAGAATATGATATCTGGCGGAGGAAGATATAGAAATTCAGGAGGGAATCTAAACAGCTAAATGTATTCATCTTATGGAGTGAGACTGAAATCAGGGGAATGAGGCTTACTGATACGTCTTTGGTTAAATTCTGCGCCATGGTTTGATGATCTCTTCTCCTCAAGTTTAGATCTCGACGTCATTTGCTTTTTACTATTTCATTCATTTTTACATTTCACAATGGTGATAGTTTAAATAAATAAAGCAGCATCCTGTATACTTCATATTGGTAGCTTTTATGAGATGTCCTTGTTTCCATTCCAGACGAAGGCCTCACAGGGATGTCAGAGAAAGCTCTTAGTGATAACAATACAACTCCTGAAAGTGAAAGGAAGAAAGATAGCTCTGGTAAGGCATGTTCAAATGTGGATTCTGTTGACAATGCGGATCAAAATATCAAAGATCTGCAGAAGAAAAAAATTTGTGCTTCCATAGTGCCTCCATCTGTCAATGGTAATCTTTCTGGCGATTCTCAAATAGAAATAGGAAATGCAGAAGTAGAATACATTGATTCTGAGAACTTGAGGGATTTAGAAGATATTGACAGTTGTCTCAAGGTAATATTTTTTTCATTGCTGGAAGGTTTTTGAAGCTTTTTTTAATGTTCCTAATATTTCTTGAAATTAAACTGTTAATTATTATTTTTTTAATAAGGGATACAATCCGTGTATTGGTTAAGATTAGCTACTGGGTTTTATTACAGACTCTTTTGGCTGGATTAGACTCCAAGGACTGGATCATGGTATGTAATGCCCTCAATAATGTGCGGCGGATTTCAATATTTCACAAGGAGGCACTACTTGATATTCTGTAAGTAACAAACATGCAGATATCTTTTCTTTTTCTGCAAAATTTGATAATGTAAAGCATTTTTTGATTGATCAATTTGCCTTTTTTTTCCCCTGGGGATTAATGAATTTATCAATATGCTTTCTGGTGAGCAGGGGGGATGTGATCACGTCTGTTGTGAAGTCCCTGAAAAGCCCTAGAAGTGCTGTATGCAAAACTGCCATTATGACATCTGCAGACATTTTCAGTGCATATAATGATTTTATAATAGATTTTCTGGACCCCCTGGTAATTGAATATTCCTTCTTGGATCTTTACTAAGGAATTTTCCCTCGTTACACTTGATTACATATGAACATGCTCTTGCATGCGTACAATTTTTCATGGATGCAGCTGGTGCAGCTTCTTCTCAAGTCTTCACAGGACAAGCGCTTTGTATGTGAGGCAGCTGAGAGAGCCTTAATAGCTATGACTACCTCGATTTCCCCTACGTCTTTGTTACCAAAATTGCAACCTCATCTTAAGAATAGGAATCCTCGAATTCGTGCAAAGGCATCGATGTGCTTTTCTCGAAGTGTCCCTCAATTGGTAAGAGAGATTTAAGAATGCCTCTTTTTACTGATGCTCATTTTCATGAGTTTCTAGGGTTACTTTAACTAGGTTTGTTTCACTTTTAGCAGCTTTGATACATTATTTTTTTGATGTGCTATGCATAATGCTAGAATAAGGTCTGAATCCTATAAAGGTTTTAGATGATTGCCACACAAGGAAAAAGGCATTTATCATCGACGAGCTTATGATAAAACATTTTCTTTTCACATCTGAATGAATTTTAAACGGCCCAGTTTCTATTTCAAATTTTCCTACTTATTTGGTTGAGAGGTGTTTTACTATTAAAAATTCCTTGTGTTGATTATTGACGAGTTTGTTCCTTGAATAAAAGGGTTGACCTTTTCTGATTGAGGTGTACAGGCATTCTTGTTTGCAAGCCCTTTATTTATTTAAACTGCTATTTTGACTAATGGATACAACTTTTGTCACTCTTGGTTGATGTTTGGCTGCTTTTCCTTCTTACTCATTTTTGTATGCCCACTGCCTACTTGCTATATAGGCTGGTATCTTTTGGCAGTAGTGTACGATTCAGCACATCCGCACCATCTTCTAATTGCTTACATTTCAACAAATGAATTAATTAGTCACCTTTTATAATGAGTTACTTGAAATAAGAGTCTCAAGTTTTACACAATTCTTAAGGACATGAGGGATCCTAACTACATATATTACATGCTCTGCGAATCAAGTTTCCCCTATTCTTTGGTCAATTCCTGATTTGAGAATCATTACTGGATCTTTATGCTAGCAACTTAATACGATGAATTGCACCAACATTTAAAGCGGAATGTGAAAGGCGTTTCTTCAGTTGATATTTGGAAGGGACTATGGTGGAAGAGCAATGTGCTACCCCGGTTCTAATTTGTAGACTACAAACGAGGTCTTATAATTAGGACAGAAGGCAGTACATGGTTCATGTATTCTTGGCACTGGATGCTGAGCATTAACATCTGTCCTGTGTTATATCTATTTACAGGGAGCTGAGGGCATAAAGGCTTATGGGATTGACAAATTGATCCAAGTAGCTGCATCCCAGCTGAGTGACCAGCTCCCTGAATCCAGGGAGGCAGCCCGAACTCTGCTACTCGAGCTTCAGAATGTGTACGAGAAATTTCATGATCCCATGCCTGCTTCTGTTTCTGAGCATCCAGAGCCGGGTTCGTGGGAGAACTTCTGTCAATCAAAACTTTCACCGCTAAGTGCTCAGGCCGTACTTCGCGTTACCAGTATTGCTCGCGAGGGTCTGGTTTCATGACACGCGCCATGCTTGAACTTCTTTAATATCCGGTCTGCTCGTCATATTTTTTCCCCTGTATATACAGTGAAAATTGAGATGGTTCGAATTGCTGTTTAAGCACGGATTGAACAGGAAATTTATGATTTGGTTCCGCATCTCTCCTTTTATCGTCAGATATCCAAATTACGTCATTTCCTCTCTTTTTCTCATTCCCTTATGTTTGGCAGAACACTTGTGGTTGATTGGCTTCGAGGCTTTGGCATTCATTTGAGCATTTGCTTCGCGAAGCGTTCACTGATTCCATATTTGAATTGAGAATGCATCAGCGAATTTATCAATCCATGATTGAAAGTGATTCGATTCAGTTTCTGCATAACGACATGAAATTTAAATGTATTGGGAGCTATGCTACTCGTGCTATTTCAGTCCCCAAAAAAATACCACTCATACTATTTACATGAATTCTCCACATTTAAATTAACTTCTGAAAAAAGAAATAGCTATTTTCATGAACATGGTACTAATAAATGTATCAATATATATATTTTCGTAAAAAATTATTCTATTCATAACTTGTGAGTTATGAAGAACCCGTCTGTGTGTTTCATTCGATGCAAAAGGGTGGATGACTTGAAATAACAACTTTTCATGTGTATCTTGTCCGTGGAGGATAGTTGGATACTTCACCGCGAGAATCTGGGGAAGTGAAAGATCCCATATACTAGATTAGCCTATTACAGACAAAAACTCACCGCTAGGACAAAAAGGTTTGAGTCCAAAGGTCCCATGCTAGATGACCAATGCTTATTCCGGACAAAGGGATCCAAAGAACAGAATAAGCACCGGAGCTTCAGATCGTTTAAAAAGCTGAGAATTAGAGTTCATTTATGTGATTTGATGCTTCTAACGAGTCAGTTTTTATCGATCACTATCGAACGTGCGGGTTTTGCTATGCTTTCATACACCACACCGCTACAAATACAGTTAGATGCAAAAGGAAGCCTCGCTAATATTGATCCATGCGATCAAATTCAAAATTCTAAAACTTGATTGCGTCTTGGCTTTGGATGGCGACCCATTTCATCCTGTGCGTTACAAATTCAAATTTTGCAGAAAGATTACATAAGTAGAAAGGTTAAAAATTTGATCCAATCCACCTAGTATGAAGTCGTTTGTATAATTCATCACAATAAAGTTTGCCCAAATCTAGACGAGACATGGGCACACATTTAAGACGCAAGAGCACTATGATAATCTGTTTCCTCACTGTCAAACTAGACATGAACACTAGACAACCGAAGGAATGATGAGAGATGGAAATCAACTTTTCTCCGAGTTGTTTTCCAATTCTTTCTTGAGCTGCAGCGAGAAGTCGTCATTGACGTCATCGTCGTCCCAATCATCTTCCCATTGCTGGCTTGTGTCTTTCCCCTCTTCTTTGTCATCCCATTCTATAAGTTTTGAAATATGTCAACAGGTGGGAAATAACATATTCTAATCCTCCATATAGAATTTTTTTTTTTAAAAAAAAACTGCAATAATATTGAAGCAATTCAGATCTGTAATATGTATTCCCTACTCACCAGTTCGTCCCATCAAGGGCTACATTTTCATTCCAGTCATATTTGAGGACTCCAAACGTAATTCTTTACTTTTCCAAAAATTATATATATAAGCCATCTAAGTTAGTATGTCCTCGTTGATGTATGGACACAAGTGTGCCCTTGGTACAAGTGGCTGGCGAAAAATATGAAGCTCCTATATTACAGGAAGCAAAATATTCCAGTTTATACATCAAAGCCCTCCCATATTAGAAATATATCAGCTTCATATTTGCATAAAACAGGGAAGGACATTCTTCGGGGATCTCTCCTTCCAACTCCTGCATTATATGTCCCCCCATATTCAAAAATAACTCTCCCTCCAAGGCACATATGGTAAATGAAAGAATTAGGTCTAAGAATCAAGTTACACCAAACTTTTGAGTCCTACTCTTTAAACATCACTCATTCCTTCAATGCTTGAAAATGATTTAGCCAGTAGACATACGTCATGCCACACATTGGATCCATATATAAGCCCTAATAACATAAGAACTATACAACATACAACATAGAATATCAACTAGTTAAACCATCTAGAGCCAGAATGTTGGACCCATCTGATGGCTTCTACTTTCCTCATGGGTAACGAATGCTGTCATAATTAATTTTCTGAAAGAACCCATTGTATAATGACCAAACTGGCCCAATGACCTATCATCAGTTGTACGCACAAGCAGGTACTCTATAATAAAGCAGTATTCCGAAGTGAATCGACATCTTCATGGATAATATAAGTAAAAGTACCTTCATTGATCTCAAACTCTTCAAATTCATCATCATCTTCAAACAAATCAAGTTTTGGATCTTCAACCGCTGCTGTGGAATCCTTCTCCATTGTCGAATTTCACAACCGAGTAATCAATCTGCAAGACTGCAACAATCTACAGGAGAGAGAAAACAAGCTTTGAACTTAACAAGAATAAGAACCAAACAGAAGAGAAAAGACGACATAATTGTTGCATAGAAGAGACGTGCTCATAGTAAGAGTCTAGGAGTTCATAAACCAGAACCACAGAAAGTTGAACAGAAATCGTGAACCCACAAACATGACTCACCCTCCTTTAGAAAGAACCCTAACCTCCCAACAAGGGGCAGCGAACAAAAGAAAGAGGAGAGGCGTCTAGTGTCTTTGACGCTTGGCTTGCCGCTTGCGAAAGATTCCCTCCTTGCAGTTCACCCGTAACGTCGGTTCCTTTTTTTTTCCAAAAAAAAATAATGTAATTGGGCCGTTTTGTAATATTGATAATACGATTCAGCCCAATCGAAGTTAAAATTTTAGCCCAAAAAGGACCCCAACCTAGCCTGTCGTGAGCGAACCCAGGAAGATTTATAGGTTAAATCCAGCTCACGAGGTTAAAGGGGGAAAAACCAACCAATTTATTATCTAGTTATTAAGTCCACGATCTTAATAATGAATTTAATAGCGACAGTATTTTTATAACAGGTTTGTCTTTAATAGAATGCTAGCAAAAAATAATGACAATTTTTGAGTTCGAATTAATTTATTATAAAGGGTCGAAAATATTTTAGCAGTGTATTTGTCCACATATCAAGAACAATTGCATATAAAATTGCATGTAGTTTCATCCATTTGAAACGTCGCCTAAAATTTGTTTGGTAAATGTCGGCCTTGAACTTTTAATTGACAAAAACAAAATAAGGCTTTTTAACCAAAAATAGAAAAGAAAAGAACTAAAGAAGCCTTCTTTTCCCTTCCGTTGTTGCAAGTTGACGCTCCCCATATTATGTCCGCAAGGCGGCGTAAGCTCTTTATCAGCCGGCCATTCCTTCCCGAGGCGGCCGTTCAAAGCACATCCCACTTTTCTTGAGTACCAAGTTTTAAAAAAGGAGAAATATAATAAACAAGAATAAAACTTGAGTAGATATAGTGCAGCATCGTTGAGAACATCGGTGCGTGTTTAAGAATGTAATTTGCAGGGCGCATTGTTTGACGTACTCTCTATACGATGAAAGCATCAGAAACATGAAGGTAAAATCAATGAATCAATCATTTTCTTTCTGTTCGCTTCACTGGTGGGTCCGATTCATTATTCATATTTTGTTCGTCACGACTTGTGCTGCAGGTTAGTAAATTACTAACAAGTTAAGCACTGCTATATGCAGTTTAGTTTTTTTTTTTTTTTTTGGGGGGGGTGTTAAGAGCAGCCAGGTTGACACATCTCCGTCAGTTTCACAGCTGTACAGGTCTTATAACTTCGTTATTAACATAAAACTCATGTTTATATAAACCATTCCGAACCATCAGCAGTTTAGATAGAAAAATCAAGGCTTTCACCAATGTCTTTGACAAGGACTGACATTTTTTTTATAAAAAAAAAAGTTCAGCCACCATCACCATTGAAGGTGAAATATCATATTTTAAAATCTAAAGAGACAATCTATGAATGAAGAAAACAGTGTCGAAGAGGGGCTTTGCTTTGGCCGGCAATGGCGCCTAGTCTAGAAAAAGAAAGGAACAAGATCTGGCGATGCTATTGCTAGTCATTTTGTGTTTGTTCCCATCTGAGTGATGCACCCTAATCTCTGAAAATACTTATCAAGCTTCAGTAAACTTAAAAAAAAAAAAAAAAAAAAGCTTGGAACATATTCCCGTTACTGTAGGTTTTGTCCTTCCTGCTTCATCACCTGGAAAGCCATACAAGGAACAAATTCCGGAAACACCAATAAGGAAGCAGCAAAAATTGAAGCCGATATCCGTAGAATTGCTGTTCTGCTCTCACATAATTGTAAATGGAGGTAACTAGTATTTTAGCATCATAGATTTCACTAACGTCGGCTTTGGATTATTTCAGATGTATTACTTCGAATTACTCTAGACAGAAAGCAATCAGAGGATGAGCACTAAGAGAGGTGCTTGATTGTCTTGTATTGCAATTTCAAATCTGCAGATTACTTGTGCTCACACATTCTTGTGATTGCAGATATATGGCTTCTTACTGCAGTTACTATAGCAGTTGTATTGATAATAATTATGACTGCATACAACTTGCTTCGTAAACTTTCCAGATCAACCCACCCCAGAAATGAAGGTATGACCTAAATTATATCAAACCTACATTCACAGCATTATAGCAAAGGTGAAGCTTATTGTTCTTATGCGGTCTACCTTTTGTAATCCATAGCAACAAGGGGGAAGGTTCTGTTGAAGGACAATGCTTGTCTAAGAGTTCCCCTAAAGGAAGTGTACTCTGCCACAAACCATCTAAATGAAATGAATGTCATTGGTGAAGGAACTTTTGGTACGAATTTCCTTTTTCCCTCTTTCTTGAAACACGGTGATTAGATTTAAAAAAAAAAAATCATTTTTTTGTCAAGCAGTAAGATTTTGGCTCAGTGAATTAAAAAATAGGTTTGGAAAAAATAACCTATAGGTATAATATATGCAATATAAAATCTTAACATCAATTTAGCAATATGTCTATATTTATTTTTGTTCTTTTCATTCTCGACAGGTTAAGATAACGCTGCGAGATAAGACTTTTAAAATTCAAATGCTGGTCCTTTCTCTACTATTGTTGAACATATCTAGATATTTGATTTCACCTGTCAAAGTCTAATCTAATGTCTACTAAAAAGGCCATAATCTTGTTTCTAACTTTCGATACCAGGGAAGGTTTATAAAGGCACAATGACAAATAATCAACATGTTGCAATAAAACACATCATCAATGATGATGGAAGCATGGAGACTTTTGTCAGAGAAATTACAAACTTATCACATGTTAGACATCCAAATCTCGTCGCTTTGTTGGGTTGCTGTGTTGAGGGAGATGAATGTTTCCTTGTCTATGAACTGTGCCCCAATGGGAGCCTTTCAGAGTGGCTATTTGGTAATATTAATTTACCACCTCATCTGACATGAAAGCTTGAATTAATAACCCGTTTCATCTTTAAATTGCGAAGAATTTATAAATTCCGATCATCAGGCAAGAGCAAGATTCTTTCCTGGATACAAAGGCTTAATATTGCAATTGATACTGCAAAAGGTCTTTGGTTCCTTCATACATATCCACAAGGCTCCATCGTTCACCGTGATGTCAAGGTCATTCCTTAAAATCTAAACATATCTCAAATCTCAATTAGATATGACTAGTTTCTACTTTTTTCTAGCTATAACTCATGATGATTCCACAAACCCAGGACAGAAACATTCTGTAACTGTTGAATGATAAACGAGTTTTTGATAGAACATCTGTTTGTTGCAGCCAACGAACATTCTCCTGGGGCCGAAGTTTGAAGCAAAGCTGTCAGATTTTGGACTCTCTAAAGTTTTAGAGGTGGGTGAAACGCATGTTAGCTCAGAAGTGAGAGGAACTTTTGGATATGTTGATCCTGAGTACCAAAGCAACCGCCATGTAAATTCATCTGGGGATGTCTACAGCTTTGGCGTGGTACTTTTGCAGATCCTCTCTGGGAAGAAGGCTATAAATTTGAAACTCAAGAAACCCATGACTCTGAATAAAATGGTGAGAACTTACATGCCTTTAATCTTCAATTCTATCTCTTGCATTATTTATTTATTTATTTAGATTGATATCACTCTAGTATTTCTCAGGCAAAAGCACTCACAAGGGGTGGCAGCATAATAGAATTTGTTGATCCTAAACTTCAAGGAGATTACTCAGAAGAAGCATTTGATTTTACCCTCCATCTTGCTCTATCATGCACATCCCTTACCCAACAACGTCCATCCATGGAACAGGTTGTCACAAGATTGGAAGAAGCCCTACTGATTTCGATGAAGAATATTTCTGCAACAGACACTTCAGTGGACAATCCTTCAATTCTATAATACAGTATTAATTAGGATCGCTTGTGTAACAGTAGATAATTTTTGTTTACTCTTAGAAGTATTCAGTTGTATAAGTACTTCAAAGTGAATTTTAAGTTTTTCTTTGATTATCAGTCAGAAAGCTTATATTTAGATTGCTACACACACTTACAAGTGACCCTCGGTAATGGAAGAAATTATAATAAGGTGAACAGAGAAAACATTCTTAAACCGCTTTAAGTGTGAAATTATTGTACCATTTTCTTGATTTACCATTCATAACCTCGTTCGTAGGTTCCTTCACAGACAGGACATCGTGAACATAAATATTAAGTTACTAAAAAACTACAACCAGGCTGGATTTTTCAGAGGAGTGACAGCAGCCTTGATTTGCAGGTAATTGCTAAGGCTATAGATTCCCCTTACCCTGCCTTGCCCACTCATCTTATACCCACCAAAAGGTATTGCTGCATCAAATACATCGTAGCAGTTTATCCATACTGTTCCAACTCGCAATGCACGCATCAATGTGTTGGCAGTGTCCAAATTCTGAGTAAAAACTCCAGCAGCCAGTCCATAGGATGTTGCATTTGCTCTCTTAATTACCTCATCAAGATCCCTATAATTTATTTCAAAGACTAAATGAAAGTGGTCTGAGAGCAGAAAGCTATTGAAGAACATACAATTATGATTGTATGAAGATTTGTGACTAATGATTTTGAGCTTACTTGAACTTCAAGATAGTCTGCACTGGTCCGAAGATTTCATCTTTTGCTATCAACATGTTGTCCTGTCAACGTGATGACAAAATCATTTTAGTTATGTACTTCTGTTTTAAAATTTATCTTGCTACTTGAACAGAAATAGAATTATTTATTGGAAGTTCAGTACCTGGACATTTGAAAAAACAGTAGGTTGGATGTAGTAACCTTTTGATCCAATTTTTTGACCGCCAGATTCAAGAGTAGCTCCGCTGTCAATGCCTGATTTAATGTACTTGAGGATCTTCTCGAATTGTGTTGAATCAATCTAGAACATAAAACAATGGATGACATCAGTAAGCATCAACCTAAAAAAGAATTTATTTGTGACTAAAGGGAGAGGATAAGAGATACCTGTGGACCTTGCTCAACCCCCCTTTTAAAAGGATCTCCAACAATACGTTTGAGGGCACGGGCTTTTGCTTTTTCAACAAACTCATCATATATGCTTTCATGTACAAATGTACGAGAACCGGCACAACAACATTGACCCTGTGGACACAAATGAAAGAACAACTTGAACCATATTGCCACACTTGGCGAAACACTTCAGGATGTTTTTGATTCTCTACAGTGAATAATATGAAATAGGATCTTCAAACCTGATTAAAGAATAAAGCAGTATGTGCAGTCTCAACAGCCTCATCGACGTTAGCATCCTTGCATACAATGAAGGGAGATTTTCCACCCAGCTCCAGAGTCACTGGCTTCAAATTACTTTGTGCAGACAGTCCCAGTACTAGCTTACCGGTGCCACTGGATCCTGTGAAAGCAAGCTGCCAAAATTTAAGCAATTTTTAGTTACTTGAGTACCAAGTAGACCATACATAGACATACGTGAGGCATTGCTAATGTGCCCAACTAAGTCCATGAAAAAGCAGTTCAATGGCTAGTTCATGGAACAGAGATTAGAGGACTTGGGAAAGGAGATATTTATGAAAACGAAAATATGTTTTGACATGCCCTACATTTCGTCCATTAATATCTACAAAAAAAGAAAAAATGAGTTCCTTTTCATATATAGAACAAAATTTAAATTATTTGAAGTACCTTGTCAACACCCATGTGGCTACATAGAGCTGCACCAGCGGTGGGACCATAGCCAGATATAATATTTAGAACACCAGGAGGAAGTCCAGCCTGCAGCCTCAAATACATCATTGAGAGATAATCACCAATATTTAGATTGTAGAAAGAAGCACGTAGAACCTAAATCCATTTGTTCCTGTCCTTTTTTTGGGGTTTGCTGGTGAACTTTTATATCATGAGCGTTATTACCAAACAAATCTATGTGTATATGATTATATGGTATTTAGACACGCGCAAGTCCAAGCAAAACGATAAAACTGAGGGCCTAATAGCGCATTTCTTGGCAGAAAGAGTTAACTTTTATTCCACTGAAGTTCACTTAGGCATAAATTACCTCATGAAATAGCTTTGAGACAAAGAGGGCAGAGAGAGGTGTCTGCTCTGCAGTTTTGAGAACAACCGTATTACCACAAGCTAAAGCAGGGCCAACCTTCCATGAATATATAAGAAGAGGGAAATTCCAAGGAATAATTTGGCCTGCCACTCCAATGGGCTCATGCAAGGTCTGGACATGGTGGGGTCCATCAGATGGAACCGTGAGACCATGAATTTTGTCTGCCCAACCTGAAGAAAACACAAATCATCATCCCAAAGAGTGTCAACTGTCAACTTCCATAAAACATCATATATATAATATATAATGGCTGATGGCATGAAGCAGGACCACAAAGATCATCCTACCAGCATAATATCGAAATATACGCGTCACCATAGGAACTTCAACATTTGCAGCCTGCTCGTAAGGCTTTCCGTTATTCCATGTTTCAAGTGCTGCAACTTCATCATTGTGCTTTTCCAGTAAATCAGCAAAACGCAGAATTATGCGTGATCTTTCCTGGAAAAAGCCATAAATTTGGATGAACATTCTTGTCCATGACCGAACATGGAGCATTACAACATCGTCTACACATGTATGTTCTGAAATCTGCGAAGTAAAAATGGGTTTTTTTAAAAAAAAAGATTAAAAAGGATAAATACATAAGCTGTCATCTTCGGCCATGGTCCCTCATCAAAGGCCCTCCTGGCAGCGGAGACAGCACGATCCACATCTTCGCTGTCACCTTCAGCAACGTTGGCAATTGTATTTCCTGTCCTAGGATCGAAAGTTCGGAAAGTTTTTCCTAAAAATGGAGATGTTTATTTTTCAGTAAATAGCCTGAACTTGTACATGGTTTTGCTTATTAAGGCAAGAAATCAACCAGAAGCAGCATCAACAAATTGCCCATCAATCAGAAGCTGAGTGTGATCTACTTGAACAGGTGGGGTAATAGGCTCCTCAGCTGTAGCTGCAACAGCAGCAGATTCGTGAACTCCACTTATACCTCTGACCCACCGACGATGTAGCCCTGAAGATATAGTCACCCAATCGCTCAGATAATCAAATGATACATACCAAAAGAGATACAACGCTTCAGTTTTAGTTTTTCTCATTTATTTTTCCATAGCTTTCAGTTTCATCTTCATGTACAATCTCACGCAGAACCAAGAAACTTAATAACCCTCCATCCATAAAGGACATGAGGAAGAAACATTACCCAAACAACGTCTGGAAGCAGAGGCAGAAGAAGAAGCGAGAGAATGCAGAAAGCGAACCGCCATGGCCTGCTTCGACCTATGGGAGCTGGGATAATAATATCTAGCTTGGCTATATTCCTACTTGCCTCGCCTCTGCACTCTCCGAAAGTCTTGAACTCATATATAAGACCTGCCCTCCTACCCCTCTTGGAGCATTATATCTTTTTCACAGTGCATCAAAGTACAGTGTCAGCAGAAAGGACGGCGTCCAAACGATGGCGTGTCCTTATCATTTTGATCATTTTGATGGTACTCCTGCATCATCAACTCACGAACTAACTCGCTTTCTCTCATCTTTTGTAGGATTGTAGTATAGAATGAGTCATGTGATTAGCCGAATTTCATGATGGCCGCCACAATAGGGAAGTAAAGCCTATTTACACATTCGTTTCCATACGATGAGCCAGTCTGAATGGTTTATAACCTTTTTTAAAAGATATAAATATTTTTTTTCTTTTTTTTATATGAAAATTTGTCAAATTAAATTTGGATTGTTGAAAATTAATTAATGTAAATGAAGATAGGATTGGACGGTAAAAACACGTCACCGAGTTGGCCCTCTTGCGGCGAGTGATTGATTTGATTGCCCACTTGCGGGTCCAAGTCCTCATGGGTCACGTGAAAACGACGTTTCAATTTGCAGCTACCCTTTTTCTTTCCTTTATTTTGATAATTATAAATCAAACAGACGCATCCGACACAAAGTTCATTATTATTTTGCTTAAGCAAACAAAGAGACCAAATAGTCAAATCCAGCAATGCCGGGCAAGTGTTCTGCTGAGTACTAACTACCAACTTTACACTAAATTTGCTTAATCATGAATGGAAAGGGTACTGGGTATGTATGTTTTTTAAATAAATTCAGAAAATAATTAATCAAATTCAATATAACGAATATTCTTAAATTATAAATAAATTAAACAATTCAACAATGATGTGATGATGAATAATAAATTTTTTTAAGCACAGGCATCTCTTACTAGGGATAATCCTATTTGAGACACTATTAGGTATTAAATATAGATATCTCTTCTAAAGTGATTTAAATCTTGATTCACCATGTCTGCCAGTAAAGAGGCTAACCGCCGAAAATATTAAGAGACCAGCATTGTAGACCCATACGTTCTTTTTCCACTGGAGCCCGTAAGCTGCTTGGGCTGTTAGTGAGTAATAAATTTTAAAAACTTGAGCGGACTATCTTGAGGAACAGGCCTGGAAAAAGAAAGCTGCTATGATATCCTTACTAGAGAACAGGGAAGGCCAAGATTAGGCCCAATCTTGGGCCCAACCTTATCACGCGCCTGCACTGGGCTATGACGCTATCCCCACTGTTTCTCCCTTTTTTTTTGGGTATAAGAGAGGGCGAGGCCCAGAGAAAACTAAAACACACTAATAGGCACTGTATCCCAATTCCCAAGCACTCACCAACATCAAACGTCCTCAAATGAGATCAAGAAGAATAGATTTAGATAAACCCTCCTTGGCCAAGGCGTCCGCAATCTGATTTTGATCCCTTGAAATATGATGAATTTCAAGCTTCCACGCATATCCCCTCTTACCATGCTATGGCTTGAGACGCCTCCGTCACAGAACTCCATTTTCTACGCTGATTGAAGTGAACCACAGCGGGCAATGGCCACCAAACTAATATACTCTGTCGCCGTCCAAACCCTACTTGTTCTGCTATGCCATCCCATGAAATAGTATCCTAGTCTGAGGGGAAGCCTCCATGCAACACAACCAAGCAATTAATAGGCTTACACTTAGCCTATTCCCTCTGCTAATATATGCAGAGACCAACAAAGCCTCATCATCTTCTTTGTCTTCCAATATTGAAATCAAAATGCCCATGTTCCATATGGCATGGTCACAAATAACATCATGGACAGAAGATAATAGTAAGTGATATATGCGTGTTACGCAATGGAGATCAGCCCCATGGATAATAGTGAAGTCAATAGAACAACAAAAGTGGATGTGACGAGAGGCCCTTTAATTCTTGTGTCCATAACGAGATTGATGAACATTTGCTTTAGTGTCAAGACCTTCTCCTCTGCATATATGTATGATGAGGAATTCGCAGTGGTTATAGTAGTGAAAAGGTCCAACAAATGGAGGATTCCCAGATGCAATATCACCAATAGGACAAAGTTATGAGAAAGCTTTCCGATTAATATATCCACAGCCTTCAGGTGATCTCAACAGAAGCAGAAAACGCAATCTAGGCCTTGATCCTCTTGTAAAACTTTAGCCGCTTTAGTTATGGTTTGAACTTTGAAGATACATACTTTCGCAGATGAATAAAGAGCAGAACATAGGAAGAAAAGTGACGAAGCTGAAGACGATGAAACTAGGATTCCAGGACTATGACAGAAATAGAAAATAATCTAAACCATAGAACTGTTTGACATTAATGGTTTCGGGTGTGTTTGGATGAAACCAAACCGTGGTTTGGAAAAGTGATTCTGGAGAATAGATTCTGTGAAGAATAGATTCTGGAGTGATTTTGAAAAGTGAAAGTGTTTGGATAGTTGTTATCAGAAGCACTTTTTATATACACACATTACTAAAAAAAAAAGACATAAGTTAATATGATAATTACAGAAAAATAGATTTTATGATATATTTTAATTTGAAGGAATAAAATTGTTAATAATATATTTTTACCAACATAATTAATAATACATAAGATAATATAATTAATAAATAATTAATATGTATATATATTTATAAAATATAAGATTAAATATGTTTATAAAAAAAATAACAAGATACATATCCTATAGGCTCTCACACTCTCCCTTTTTTCTCCAAAAGCAAAAAATTTTTGCTTTTTCTAAAACTATGGTTTTGGAGTCAAAACCATGGTTTTGATCCAAAACCATGGTTTGGTTTTTGGGATGACTGTTTGGGCAGTTTTTTACCTAAACCATGGTTTGGACAAACATCCAAACGGTACCTTCATCACCAAATTTGGAGAAAATTGTAACAGTAACAACTATGTATACTTGTTCATTCACTGCCTTTGACCTTCACTTGATGCAGTGGCGAAATATAGAGGTAAATTTTGAATCCACACAAAAGCTGAAGACCCCCACATGCTGGCCAAATGGGTTTAGGGACTTGGAGTGTCCTTTGCCATTTGAATTTTAGTTAATGGCGTGTTGGCAGATAGAAGTAAAGCTGGATGTTAGTGGGTGACCACCCTCGGATCCTTCCAAATAATACGGGTAACGCTTGCCAAAGGTTACAAGGAAACTAAGTTCAACGACTCTCAGCCGCATTTAATATGTGACCCAAAAAAGATCACATTTAATAGGGCTTCCATTTACAAGAAAAGGACTAACCACTCTTGTTCGGCAAGCTACTCCATTACTGGCTAGTAGTAGCGTCTGCAACTGTATGGTGCATCAGTATTACCCACTCTAGCAAACTGCATCATCATTAATGGTTCTTATTAACAAGTCCCAATCTCACTGCATTTACTTTTTCTCTTTTTTCCTTTTTTAAGTCAACACGTCACAATATTTATCTCCCAGATGTTGGCGGCAGCAAATGAGGAATAGCAAATCCGGTTCGAGTCGCGTCACAAGGATACTGTCCTTGAGAGATATTCCGCAACCCCTCGGTGTAACAGGCAGCGGCACTCCCCAGGATCAAACGAACCCTTCCTGCGAAGCAAGGTAGCAGAACAGCGAAAGCAATTGTAACAGCAAACACCCGCGGGAGAGAAGAGGAAGAGGACAGAACAGTGTTTCATCACGCTGCCTGGACAGTCCCTTATATAGGCGCGAATGGCCACATCACCGGAGGACGCATCCCTCTGTTTCGCCGAGTGGGTACGACCGAAGCAACGTAAGGTTCCGTTGGAGACGGAACAGCGCGAACGTTGGTGCACACAACGTTCGCCTACACCCCGCGAGACGCGTTCGGTCGGCCACAAAACGAAACAGTAAGCCTCTTGACTTTTAACAGGTCCAAAATAAGGCTTTTCTGGTAAGCATAATTTTATTAAAAATATTCAACAAAGTTTAAAATAATTTTCGTAAAATGAGGCTTTACCGCGTTTAATTCACGCGCAGGGGGAGAGGAAATCGCCGGTTTACAACTGCGTTTCCCTCCTGGTGGCCTGTTGTTGTGTGCGCGAGGCCCACTTCCCTCTTGGCCCATTTACCCCCCCAAGGATGCTTGATCTCATTTATACACTTAGACTTCTTCTCATCTTTCCCATGTGGGACTTTATTTGACACACATATTGCATTATTTCACAACACCAGATTGGTAGATTGAAGTTTATTTGTGTTATGCATTTCCTTCCTTAGCCCCTCATTCACTCTAGTGATAGTGACTTGCATATTACCCCATAAGTAACATGAATCAATTAATCTCAGATTTATCTTTGACATGAATATTAATTAGTTGTAGTGCTTACTTTTTCAAGTTAAAAAAGGTATTTTTAGGTGCCTTTGGTGTGTTGGAGAAGAAGAGGAGAGTGGGTTTGTTAGGGTAGGAAGGAAGGAAGTGGGTTGAAGTGCATGGCGTGGGGGAACAAAAAAATATTCAACAATGGTTTCAAAATGCACAAGAAATGAAGGACAACATATATGCATAGCCATGTTGTCCGCCTTAATTACATTCCACAACTACTTCACCACTTGCAAGCTTCCATTTATTTCCTTCAGTATCCACACACCATGTTCTCTCATCATCCATGGACCCACCCAACCCCACCACATCTGATATTGGACACTGCCCTAAACTACACTGCTCCATGTCTCACAATAGTTAATACAGATTCTTGCCAAGTGGTACAACGTGGCAGGCCACTCAGCAAAGGGCAATCTTAGAGATTCTTTCAGAATGATCAGTTCATACTTAATAATTAGAAGAACTGATTAAACACCAATTAATTAAGCTTCATTATAAAGCAGTTTCCTGGGAAATTATAATCAGTGCCGCAGAATGATGAATAAGGATACACATGGACACATGTTGAGCGTCAGAAGATCCACTTAGTATGGATGACACCATAGTTGTGTCCGAATCCCATATTACCATTCAAACATAAAAAAGAGATTTTCGAGCAGAAAATGAATACGAAAGAGTAGTATGATATCAGATGTGGTGGTGTTTAATTAATCCAGGAACAGTGTACTGACAGAATATAAACCGGATTTTGAGGAGAATAGTATCTTCTCTCTTCAATGTCGAATATATATATATATATAT